TATCCTTACATGCCCGTTTTATATGATAGCTATTTTGTGAGTTACGCTCAGCCCTTGGCTGCTGTTGGTTTTGCTGTTCCTGGTTCTGCTACTGTTGGTGTTGGTGCTTTTGCACGTCCTCAATATGGAGCTATGCCAGTTCCATCGCAACCTCCACGTATACGTAAACTGTTCTTAGAAGCCTGGATTTGGGACGATATTAATACGTAAAGCAATCCTTTGCATTAATTTATTTGACATTCACTGGTTTTCTTTTTAACATGAAGTTCAATCCTTTTATCTTTTTATGACGTTATTGTTGTGGGAACATAAATTATTTTTAAGATAATATTATAATTCATATAAAATTGGTCATTACAATATAAAGGAACTCATTAAGTATGTGTTGTTAGGCAAATCAAATCATGGGATACATTGAAAAAATCAAATGAAATACAATTCAAGGGATGAATATTTTAAAAGGAATTGAAATACATACTATTCGTTTTTGGGTCTCCTTTTTACATCACTTCATTTCATATATTATATTAATTGTGCTCATCACCGAAAGTGCTGGAACAAAAGCCACACCAGAAACCCTCCGAAAAGGTTTTATCTGGAGATCTTATCACACACTAATTCTCGAAATAAAATGTTATCAAGCCTAGGAGCAGTTCTTTAATGATTTTATAAAAAATCAGTGCTTATCTAGACTTTTCTATGCTAACTTATGTCTAACTAAAATAATTTTTTTTCCATCTGTACTTTCAAATGATCATTTTTCCTTTTATGGTAGAACATTTTTGTTCTTATTGTAACTAGTAAGTGACATAGAAATTCCTGAATATATTCAGTAATGATTGAAGTAATCACTTTAATTACAACACTTTAATCTCTTTGCAAACCAAGTTACTTGCTATTAATATCTCTTTCTGATTTCTACTCTGATCTTACAACTTTTGGTGCACAATTTGGTTCATAATTTTATATATTTCCTCACATTATGCCATTTATTACATATTATTTATTTTCAACTAATATTTTAATATTTTAATTTAATTTTCTATTTCTATTTCATCTTGACGCGTTTATATCTCACTCTAACTAATTTAACTTTTCACCAACGGTTCCAACTTTAATTACCTATCTTTTCTCACTTATGCTTACATATATTTCTTTATTATTATTTTATTACGTTTATTTTGTCTTAATTTCTCTAAGCATGCTGTCTTCTTTTATTCTATTTTAAAATTGCTTCTCTATTCTATTTTTAACTATTATTGGTTTATATTAGCTTTTTTTGATGTGTTTTTTCTTTTATTCTATTTTTACTTTGATTTTATTTCTTCTTTGCTTATGATTTCCATTTTATTTATTTATTGCTTAATATTTATGCTATCTTTTTACCTTTGTTTATTTAAAGAGACTTTCATCTCTTTTAAAATATTTTCCGACTTCTTGTATTCAATATTATTTGCTTAGATATATACCGGCGTAATTGCAGGATATTGGATGGGTCTGCAAGTATGGGCGGGCGATCTTTTAAAAAAATAAACCACAGCGTGGATGATAGGAATCAGTACTGTGAATCGGTTAAAAGTTCTCAGAGTTCCCAGAGAGTTGGCTTTTTACTGATTGGGAAAAGTTATTAGCTCTTCAATATTATTTTTAGATTTATCCTATAAATTAGTTTACATACACAGTTAAGTTCTGTAAACTCATGTTATTTATAGAGCATCACTCTGAAAAAGCACTCAATTTTGAATACGGCCTTATATATGTAAGTCTATGTATACATATCTATTTATATATATTTAAATATAGATAAATTAAGAATGAGTAATGATAGGACCGATTATCTGTAGATGTCATTTGTTAATAGTTTTAAATTCTTTCCTTCTCCTTCTCGCGCGTTCTCTCTCTTTTTCTATGCGTATGCTCTGTTTTTAGTAGAAGTAGACGAGAATTTTTTTGCAGTAATAAGTAGAAAGCAAACTGATCTCAGGTCATTTTTGATCATTCGATTTCATGTTCGTAATGCTGCTTGTGAGTCTGACCAACATTAACAATACTAACAAACGATTTTATAACTATAGCATGGACTTAAAATTTCAGTACGTCTTTTCTATCCTTTTACTATGCTTACACACTGCACTCCCTCAACCTATAGTTACGTTTTAAACGGTTTTAGGTAATGTTTGTTGATATCACGGGCTATGGATATGCCCGTGATTTAATAAAAGTCATGTTTTGTTCATGGTTATATAATCCGTAAGTCTCTTCTCAAAAATGTCCGAAAACTGCGGGAGAAATTTTACTCCTAATTCTAATGGCTGATTACAGTTTAGGTTAGGTTGCATAAAAACTACTATAGTCGCTGCGCTGAGCTCGGTTCGAATCTAACACCCTGTTAATTTTAGCTATTTTTTATAGTTTCAATTTACGGCCATTCGGTACTTTAGAACGACGAAATGGATATTTTTTTGATTATAGTAATAGTTATAAAAGTTTTTTCCTTTGGTGAACATTTTGCTACCTAAAAATTAATTTATTTTCCTTTATGCGTATGCTTTATAGATAGAATTATTTTTTTGCAAGCGGACACAGTATTCCTGGAATCAGCAGTTGAACAAAGTATTGAAGAACTTATCGAATCTGTAGACACTACAGTTTCTACTGAAAATACGGAAAAGGTGGAGCCAGAGAAAAAAAATGTACGAATTCGTAAGAACTTTCAAGAAAATTGGATTTTCCACGACCATAAAATGTAAAAATAATGATGACTAAGTATTCAAATCTTTTTCAAATATTAGTTGGAATAGTCTTTAGTCTTTTAATAACGTTTTGGTTTTGGTTATTGAAAATCTGTCTTTAGACTATATATATATATTTTATTTAAAATTGCATGGTATTTAAAACTACTTTGTTTGCAAAATCTCAGACGTCTTTAGCATTGTGTTATGAAAAAATTTATATATTTTTATATTTTAATCAGTTTAATTTGTAAATATGGAAACTGACTTACATTAAGATATGCTACACAGATCCTAGGGTTCTTATTAATATAAAGTTAGATACGAGGGTAAGACAGTCCCCATGACTTGGTTGTCTCAAGAAACTGTGATTGTCACACTTCAAGTACTTGCTATGTCTCAGTTAAAAAAGCGTTGATTGATTCTATTCATTTATAAGTTATTTTTCAAGATCAGTATAATCTCTGCCCGCTATATGTGTCCGGATAAGTGCCTGGTCCGGAAGTTGGAGATAGTGTTAAAAATGTTCATAAACTGACTTTCGAGCTATAGTTAGGGCTAAATATAGGTAAAATACATATTTGTTTTTATATTCAATAATAATAAACGAATATATCGATGTACCGATATATAGAGTCGATTTTTAATATACAACAATAAAAAAAACAAAATTCTAATATATGTCCTATGTATTTGCTATAATTTTAGACTTCATTTATCCAGTTTATTTAGAAGTGAGTGAAGTAGCAAAAGAAGAACTTCTAGACTCCGTATTCGTAGCAAGTCAAATTAACCGGGTTGACACTCAAGACAATGAAAATTTGAGAATTCGTAAAGATTTTCGGGAAAACTGGATTTTCATTGATCAAAACAAGTAAAGACTGATAATCAAAATTTTTTTTTATCTTATAATTTTGCTTGAAATTATTATTTTTGGAAACGGGTTAATCATTTTTACTGGTTTTGATTAAGCTATTGTAAATAAACAAACAGGAAACGTTAATATTATAAGAATACTTATTATATAATATAAAAACAGATGACATATTGCCATTATAGAAAATGCAATTCAAAATAATTGATCGCGGGTGTAAGTCCATAAATGAAGGATACTTTCAGTGCATTATTGGTTGTCTTTTATATTGTGTATATATACGCCTTATATATTTGTGTAATCGGTTATTGGTTTTCGAGTGATGAAAATATTTAATTAGCGTATTATGTCTGTTCAAGTATTGATAATATAATATAATATCTCGTGATGTCAATGTCTCGTGATATATGGTAAGGCTCATTCAATGATTTAGACATCTCGTTTCCAACTGTTCTTCTCCAACTGTTTTTTTGGGTCATCCAATGCTACGCGGTCAATGCAAATGTTACATGTGTATTGTGTGGGACTTGATGCGTGATATATCTTTTACAACGCCAGGCTGTTAATAGTCTATGGTTATCAGATTTTGCATATACATTGCAGACATCACGTTAGTAATGACGATAAAATTCTTTTTAGAATGACCTGTGTTTGAATATTATATGTGCATATTCATTGTCTGAATGACGTTAATAATCAGTTGAATTGAAGAAGTATGGATATATGAACACTATAAGATGGTGATTACGGTGTTTGTTAACATCAAAAATTGTCAGATCTTATCTAGGAAGTTCTGAACCATTCATCGTGTAATTCCGACATTCTATTGCCTGACATTATATTGTTTTCCAATTTTTGACATTATAGTTTCTAATATTGAGTTTACCTTAAAAGAAGGCTGTGGAAAAAACTTGTGTGATTTTGATATTTTTCAATACAGAAGGAAAGATTGTAGCCGAAAAATGGCAGAAAGTGGTTGAAGATTATATGAAATAATTTAATTTATAAAATTGTTTGTAAATTTAAAACATTGTGTTTTTAGCACTAATTAACACCGCTCAATATTTTTCGCCTAACTCATTATAAGGATCAGACAAGGAAAAGTATTCGATTTACTCAAAAGTGAGGAGGGTATAAGGCAGGATATAAAGTTCTTTACTTTCGAATTTTAAATTTGGATTTTTTTAATGTGTTTTTATAAGTTTCTCTTTCAATACTTTTATTCACATTTTAGAATTCTGAATTCACTAAATCTTTATTTTATACTTTATAACAGTAAAGATGTTGAGTGCGCAGAAATTTTATATAATAGTCGAAAAAAATTAATATGATCTATTAGCACTCAAATGATATAAAGTTCATACAATTACTAAGAAACATGTATTTAAATATAGGATATCGTCCCGTATTTCATTCACTTCCTAGACCTGGAATTCTTTATATGCGTACCGGTCAGCCCTTGGGTGCTGCTGAAATTGGTAATAGAGTTGCTTTTGCAAGCTCTGCACATGCACCTCGACCATTTCCATCATCACGACCATCGCAGCCACCACTTCTGCAACAGCCACCACGTATACGTAAACTGTTCTTAGAAGCCTGGATTTGGGACGATATTAATACGTAAAGCAATCCTTTGAATTAATTTATTAGACATTCACTGGTTTTCTTTTTAACATGAAGTTCAATCTTTTTATCTGTTTATGACGTTATTGTTGTGGGAACATAAATTATTTTTAAGATAATATTATAATTCATATTAAATTGGTCATTACAATATAAAGGAACTCATTAAGTGTGTGTTGCTAGGCAAATCAAATCATGGGATACATTGAAAAAATCAAATGAAATACAATTCAAGGGATGAGTATCTTAAATGGACATGAAAAACATACTATTCGTCCTTGGGTCTCCTTTTAACATTACATCATTTTATATATTATATTAATTGTGCTCATCACTGAAAATGCTTGAATAAAAACTTTATTAAATATTCTTTGAAAAGGTTTTGTCATAGATCTGTGAAATAAGTTATCTTTATGATGTTATTAATTGAAATCTTAATTTCTCCGAAGTCATTCATTTGGAGGGAGAAAAAATGAAAATGAAAATTAATTTATAATTTATGATTAATTTAAATTTATAATATTGATTTTTGTTCAACAAAATTTACTCTAAACGATAATGAAAATCAATCGAAATAGTCTCGATTTATTTACGATTTCTAATAATTTATTTCACATTTCCATTAACTTACGATTATTATTTGCTCGTGCTCGCCAGACGCCACATTAATTTACTTCACACCTGCACCCCTCATTGAAGAAGAACTTTTCGGACACACTTTTGAAGACTCAAGGAAGGCTGGTCAATTAGAAGAAGAAGCTTTGGCTGAAATTGAGTACTTTGCGAAATATATGCGAGATAAACCACCAAAACTATATATACATACCAAGTATTTATTTGCATGGAGTTCTTTGGATGGACTAGCGTAAATGTTTGAAAACGATCTTTTCTCAGCATTAGTACTCCTCGAAAGAGCTCTCATAACCAATCATTAATAAACACACTTAAAATTACAAAAAAACATGTGTGCTTTCAAGCTTTGAGTGAGCTTCGCAAGGAATTTGACCTCTATAGACATGTCATTTTTTCACAATGCATCTATACTAATTTTATTGAGAATTATACAAAATATAGTATAGAACGCTGAACGCTGAACGCTGATTTTGAAGTTTCTTTCCATGCTTTAATATTTTAAAACATCATTTTTATGAGAACTCTAATTGTCACTTCAATATATATTCTAGTGAATTCAAGATTCTGAACACTTGGGTCACCACATCTCTATACATAAAATCATATGTTATGACCTCAGCCATGTATTATTTTTTTCATTATATAAAAAAAAAAATCGTTGTGCGATGATTATGGGTGTTAACAGTAATGAACTAAAAATGGAGTATGACCATTTTATAGGAATGATTGTTTCCTCATTCGCATATATTCATAAAAATAGTCAATATATTTCACTTATTCTTTGTTGTCTTATAATAGTCTTATGGGTTACTGAAATTTAGAACTTAGTTTAGATCATTCTTTAGTTGTTTTGCGATTATGATATATAATGCACGGCACACCCTAAAGTACTGAAATATTTTCAGATGATTTTTAACAACGTGATCGCATATACTTGACAAAACATTGGTAGTAACATGCCCATATTCATCTTCAAACTGTCATATGTTTGATGATTATTCACGTTAATAATTTCTAGTGCTGATAACTCACTTAAGGAATTTGGTGGCATATTATAAGACTTTATTATATTAATAAAATTTCTATTATTTTTTCGTTGAAATACTTGTGTTGTTATTATATTACGAGTATAACTGGGAAATGCATGACATAAGCGTTACTGGATATATTCAGTAATGGCTGACTGTCAAGAAATTATGGATAATTCCGTACATTGATTGGGTTATTTGCAAACGGAGTTATTACCTTCTTTTTTTAAGAAACTAACTTTTTTAAAATATTTTCGTCTATTCTATATCACTCTATGATTTTTTTTATTTATTCTTCAATCATTTTTTTTTCATTAATCTAACTACTCTAAATACTCTATTTCTTTCATTTTTTTCATATTCACTCACATTAAGCCATTTGCTACATATGATTCCTACTTATTTTTTTATTATTATTATTTTTTTTAAATTTATTTTGTCTCAATTTCTCTAAACATGCTGTCTTCTTTTATTCTATTTCAAAATATAGACGATAGAATAGAGAGGGTGAAGTAGATATAGTTTTAGTAATATTAATTTATGTTAGATCGCGATCCTGATGATGACTCTCAAGGAGGTCGAAATATAGACCAATAGCCAATAGCCGGATTATATTAGTTTTTCATATAATTTTGTTTTTTTTATTTAATCTATCTGAACCTTGATCTTATTTCTTCTTTGTTTACTTATTATATTTATTTATTTATTATTTAATACTCTATTTTTTTCTTTTAATTTTATATCTTCTCAAAATATTTGACGGTTTTTTTGTTCAATATTATTTGCTTAGACATGTACTTCTTTCCTTATGATGGTCCGGTATTTGCCTTTGCGGCGGCTCCAATGTTAGGCGGGGCTGCCGTTGATGCACTTGCTGTTGCAGAAATGGACTCTGGTGTTTCAAATGTCGTACCCGCGCCACAAGTCCGTAAAGAATTCCCAGAGAGTTGGCTTTTTATTGATTTGGAAAAGTAAATACCTCTACAATATATGTTATGTATCTGTTAAATTACATATAAGTTAGTTTACATGATCAGTTTGTTGCTTACTTGTGCACACGCTCTAGACATCAGTGTTTCTCTCTTCGAGGTTTCAGGCAAATATTTTAAATACTTAGGTATTTTTAATTGGAAATGGGAATACTATTCCATTATATTTTCTATGTGCTTTGTGTATTTCACTATTTTGTTTATTTGTAAATATTTTTGTGTACCGTCAATACTGTTTTGTTCTATCTTACACAATTGTTTTTATTAAATTTATGTATTGCATTATTTTATTAAAAAAAACAATGTTTTGAAACTGCAGCGATATTTAAACTACGGCCTGTTGCGGCTGGCACAGGCAGTGTACCTATTATGGGTGCTTCCGGACAAAAGTTGTCAAGCGGTGCTACTGCTGTTTCGGGCGCTACTGCTTACCTCACAACAACTTCACCTACAATAATCGACAAGCCCAGTGACTATGAGATGAGGACACGCAAATACTTTGTGGAAAGTTGGATATTCCAAGACCTCAGTTACGATTTGTATGACAGCTACACAAAAAATTGTTATTAAAAAACTGACCTTCCAATTTGTGTGCCTTGTTTTTACAGTGTTAACTATCGTAGTTTTTAATTTGCGTAAATCTTAATGTAACTAAATGTTTTTTATTATTTAAGTGTAAGGGTACAGCTCTTTTAAATCTTTGGTTTCATATTGTGTGGTTAGTGAGGGGTTAAACTTGATGAGCACATAAACACCACACTAAAATATTTCGTACTTAAATTTTTCTCATATTTTAAACTAAATTGGGTCACTAAACTCTTGTGTATTTCTATGAATCTAAAGATGTGAATAATGTTAGTTTCAATGTAATTGATACATTTCAACTCCTTTCATGCAGCTGAATTCTTGTACCCTACGACCACGAGACCACCAATTTATTACACTAGCACAATATATTATACATCAACTATATCGCCAACGTATGCAACAGCACCACCAGCAACGAGTACTGAGGATAACAGCCCGAAAATTCGTAAAGAATTTCAAGAGAGTTGGATCTTTTATGATAAAAACAAGTACATAATTTATTCAGTTCTCATCACGTACTCTCATTTAGTGCCAATCATGTTCAGCATACTCACTTTGAATACAAAGCCTTGAAAAGATTCGTTAAGATTATAATTGAGACACTGCATGCGCATCTCTGTTACTTTGCCTCATAAATTTTTTCAAATTAGGACAAATATATAGGCTCGGGGACAACAGACGATATAAATTTTTAGGGTCACTTTGCGGGTATGTGCTAACGCGACAACCTCATGGAATGGAGGAAGTTGCTATGCCTGATGTATTGGATGAACAGGAAAATATTTTACTTGACATACAAAAAATTTTATTGACATGTAGATCTGGTTTAGTCAAAATTTGAAAATGTTAGTTTCACCTTATACCATTTCTATAATGCATTTGTCGGTAAGCCCCACTAAGTTTCTGGTATATGTATTGCAGAGGCTTGTCAAGAATACTGAATCCATGAATCTTAACAAAAATTTTTTGTGAGCTATGCTGCATATATGGTGATTCTCAAATGAAAGTTATATAGACTAAATAAATCACTTCAGATTTATGTAAATAAACACAAACAAAATAATTTTGTACATTTGTATAGCACAAAAACTTCTACTTATATAACACATACATATAGATTAATATCTATTTTTATATGACATTGAACTCTTATTTATGTGCTTTTTAATATTTAATTGCTTTGCATGTCTTGTAAGAAATAATTAATTATATTATTATGTTGATATGTTGTATACAGACAACACTAATCATACCTGGGTCACCTTTCAACGTATTAACTCTTTCTATTCAAATTAGTTTCCACTCACTACATTTAGTCCATACCCACCACTTTCACTTAATATTCACCACTTTCATTTCATACTCACCACTATTTTATATTAAGTTTTAATAAAGATAAACATACTTTAACATAATTATGCTTTATATCCATTAAAATTATTTTAACACTTTATATTAATGAAAAAAATTTTTGGTTATTTAGTTAACGCTGGTTGTCTTGTTCTTACTAATGCTTTTCTACACACACCTGATACATATCTGCTTGTTTGTTATCGCTTACAATAAAAAAACAAAAAACATATTTTTTATGCCCTGTTAGTAATATATGTATTCCGTTACATAATAGCACTGGCCCTGATGGACTTAAGTTTACTAAAAAAATCCCCGATACAATTACTTCCTGGGTCATAACCGGCTTCTCCATTAATCCAAAGACTGGCTTTGCTCTAACTGACGATGCTACTAAAATAAGAGTTTTTCAACCATTCTTCATATTCTTGAATCTGCCACATTCCGTGAAACGCGGTAAGTCTATTGGATTTCTTCACATTAGATTGATTTCATATAATTTTTTTTTTACTTTAATGCTCGTATATAGGCGAAGCTTTTGCTCTACCTGTTATACTAAATAATTATATGTCACAACCACTGACAGCTGAGGTCACCATGGACAATACTGACGGCGACTATCAATTTATTGAAGCAACAAATGAAGTTGATGAAAATTCCATTAACGAGGTGAAACGTGTTAAACGCGTTACAATTCCTGCAAATTCTGGTGCCAGCGTATCTTTCCTTATTCGCCCAAATCGTGTTGGAGATGTGTCTATGAAGATTACTGCGATTACACCTGTTGCTGGTGATAGCATACATCAACCACTTAAAGTTGAGCCAGAAGGAGTACCAGTATATAAAAATGATGCTGTTTTTATAAATTTGCAAGAGACAATGACGCAAAATGGAAATTTCAATATTAATATACCACCGGAGGCAGTTCCAGATTCAGAAGTCATTGATTTCAGCGTAATTGGGGATGTGCTTGGACCTACATTAAATAATTTAGATCAATTAGTGCGCAAACCATATGGTTGCGGTGAGCAAAATATGATCAACTTTGTGCCAAATATTTTGGTACTTAGGTATTTAGACGCTACCAATAAGTCAATGCCTAGTCTAAGAGATAAAGCTAAAGGCTTTGTGGAGAATGGTTATCAACGAGAGTTAACATACAAACACGACAACGGTGCTTATAGTGCTTTTGGCAAGAGCGACCCTAGTGGTAGTACATGGCTTACAGCGTATGTTGTACGTTCGTTCCATCAAGCAGCTAAGTTCATATTCATTGATCCCAATGTCAATAAGCAAGGTCTAAATTATTTAGCCTCTGTACAAGCTGAAAACGGTAGTTTCACAGAGCACGCAAGACTGCTCGACAGCACAAACCACAATAAACTTGTGATCACGGCTTTCGTGTTGATGGCTTTCTTTGAGAATGTGGTGGGTTGTTAAAACTTTGGGGATTTATTATGTGTATTTTATGTTGTATGTAATTTTATTTGTAGGAACACATTCCTGAATACGAGAAAACTATTAATAAAGGCTTAGCTTATTTACGTGAAAACGTGGATCAGACAGATGATTTGTATGCAACCGCAATTATTGCTTATACTCTTAAATTGGCTAATGATCCAAAAGCGGAAAAAGTGTTGGCCAAATTGGAAACACTCGCTAAGGAGGAAAATGGTCAAAAATCGTGGTCAAAAGACTCTACAAAATCTATGAATAATGCTGTAGAACTTACTTCTTACGTTGCGCTTGCGAAATTGAATACAGAATCAGCGGAAGAAGCATTGCCTATCATAAAATGGTTGGTGGCACAACGGAATAGCAATGGTGGCTTCCAGTCAACTCAAGACACCGTAGTCGGTTTGCAGGCTCTCACTAAATTCGCCGAAAAAACATCTTACGGTTCGGGCGAAGTTGAAATTGATTTCGAGTCCAATGGTGGTGAAAAGAGAACGGGTAATATGAAGGTTAATGCAGATAATGCATTGGTGCTACAAACCCATGTGGTAAGTAAATATACATATAATATTTGAAAGTAACGGTTGAAGTGCAAATGTTTTATTATGTCTATAACAAAACAATTGCAGAAAATAATTTATGATTTATATTTTTACCTCTTACTTCTTGGGTTTCTTATATATTTTAAATCTATTATTTTAGCTACCAAAAACCACAAGACATCTTTCATATACTGCTAAAGGTCGTGGTTCGGCGATTGCACAGCTGTCGTATCGGTACAATATTGCCGAGAAGGAAAAAAAACCCAGCTTCACGCTAAACACTAAGGTTAACAATGCTACACTACCAAATCTGCTCGTATTGGAAATTTGTGCCGAGTATAAACCTTTGGAGAACGCTGAACCAGGCAAAGAGTCAAACATGGCTGTAATGGAGGTGTCATTACCTTCTGGCTATACAGCTGATGCAGATACGCTCACCAAGATCGATGCTGTAGATCGTGTTAAACTTGCCGAAACTAAGGACGCTGATTCAACTGTGATTGTTTATTTCGATAGTTTGGCAGTGGGTGATATTAAATGCGTACCAGTTGAGGCTTCGAAGACTCATCCCGTAGCTAAATTGAAACCAGCGCCTGTTGCCATTTATGATTATTATGTATCAGATCAACGTGAAACGGAGTATTATACTGTGCCTTCTTCTCTGTGTGATATATGCGAAGGTGAGGACTGCGGTGAAGCTTGTAAGGGAATCAAACGTTAATGACTATTTCAAAATCACTTTCAGTCAATTTTAAAAGTTTAAGTTAAAATTCATAAAAAAATTATTTACTTTTCTACCATATATCAATTAAAGTTTTTAAAATAAATCACAATTTTTGAAATTACTAAAGCTTTTTAAATAAATAAACCAATGTCGAAGTAAAATTTGGCAATAGGTACTGAAATGGAAAATTTTATATATGTAGTGCGGATATATACTTACAGAAGTTGGATGTCTCAATTCTCAAAGAAGACATGGTATCATCGAGATCACAGAAATTTTTAATTCTACTATCCAATTGAATAGTAGTCGACCGTCCAAAACACAATTGCGTTATTATTTTAGGGTTACTTAATGTTCTGTGTTCAATATAAAAAGGGAAATTTTATCATCGTTAATATTTGATGATGTGTTGAAGATTTGTTTCTGCAATGAAAATAATGGAATTCTAAGAGCTGTCAGACTTACGCTGTGGAATCATTCGTTTATCCCAACCAATTGTCACTTAGTTCACTAATAAATCGAACCCGGCAGGGATTCGGGGTTATCCTTTTCTAATGTTATTTCTTAGAGTTTTATTTTCAGCCCATATGTACGTCACTTCTATCTCTTTTTAGAATAGTTAATTGTTTTTAGCTTGGAAGTAGCACCAATATCTATAAAGATAATTTCGATAGTAATTTATAGTTTAACAGTAGTAAATAGGCCTTCCAATGAAGTTGAATTTAGTTTCTAAATGTCGAAGTTCGGTGCAAGATTTTTATGTATTGCGAAAAATAGTTTCCTATTCCCTTGCATGCTATTCTGGAGTTACGGGTAATGTAATCTCAGGCAATAGGTTTATTGGTAAAACAATATGTAAAAAATCTATGAAGTTATAGTTAGTGACATTGATAGTCTACAGATTTGATATGGATTATATGGATTATACTAGTCTCACTGAAGTGTTACTGTAGCTAATTTAAATTAAAGGCGTTTATGAAGAGATAAAGTACTAAGTAACTATTACTAAAGATCAACTAAGTTAAATATATTTAATTCACATCTCCTTTTTATTAAAGTTAAATATCTCAAGAATTAAAATAAGTTAATATTTAGTATTAAGATATTCCAATTCTGTTGCTCTTTTCACAAGTGCTAATATGCCATTTAGTGTTTCCTCAGCATTTGGTATTATATTCACCGGCGGCAGTACAAAGCCGTAGCGCCCTAAATCGCGAAACTCAATAGTGTAGGTAAGTTTAATGTCTTGTTCGTTATAGGCCCAATCGATTGTTGTACCAGATGCAGTATCTATGAAAAGACATTAATATTAACATAAGAAATGTATACTAAAATTGGAACAGCAAAGTGCTGTGGGGGTATTTATTAAAATAGGCTTACATAATACACCTGCCGAAGTACCGTATTCATAATTAGTAGCATATGACGTGCCTGCAACAGCATCTACATATGCCTTCGCTACGGACATTAAGTCATCGTAATTGGGTGGCAACTCTTCTTCTGAGTGACCATAAGGTGATAGCAAAACTTGACTATATGAATGAAAAGCTAAAAGTATATTTATTTTAGACTTGATGCCCGAAATGAAATCAGTTAAGCCCTTAATCTCTGGTTCAGAGAATGGGTAGGGTCCAGCATAGTCAGAAGCACATGGATCATCAGAAGCACCTCCGTTTTCCATCCAATGTGAATCAAAATTGCGATTAGGGTCAGCGCCAATACAAGTTGAAGTTGAAACGGGTTGTCTTGTTTTGCGCCATAAGCGGTCCTAAAAACATGAAGCTCTTTAATTATTACGGTTAAAATTGATTAAGGAATTGATGATTTGTATTCGAAACTTACCTTTTCGTGCGTGTAAACAAAGCCATCCACATTTAGCACGGGCACAATATACCAATCATAATTTTCGGCTAATTGACGTACTTCAGCTTTTGTAGATGTTAGTAGTTCGTTGATGAACCAAGTGGCAGTAGCAGAGGTAATCCATTCGCGTGCATGTATATTAGATTCAATGAAGATGCCCGGATTTCCTGCTTTGTAGGAAATCTTAATACCATTTATGGTGCGACCTTCATATGATTTGCCTACAGTGAAACGCTCAGTGATGAGAGGATAAGTTTTTAGAACTTCATCAAGCCAACATTCAATGTCAGCTAGTGGATAGTAACGCGTCCAATCCAGTGTAACTGTGTCATCAATTTTTTGAATGTTGTCATTTATTTCAGCATTTATAAGACTGCAATTAATGTTATTGTTTCATGCATAAATATAAATATTTATATGTGTATACAAATGTATAAGAAATTACACAAACTTTTCATTATATTTATCGAATTGTGAAAGTTTATTCTCACCTTTGGACATTCGACACAATTTTTTCGGTCGTAATGCCCCAAAGCTTGACTAGGCGCATAAATTGTTGTATCACATTTGGGCTTATCATTATGTGCACTTCAGTGCCGGAACTATGCCATAAATCGTACTAAATTAATTATTGCTTTAAGTCATTTTTTGAATAAAGTATTCAATATCTGTAGCTTACATGTTTCGAGTTTTTCAATAATTCCTTGACGATCTTACGCTGTAGATCATTTTGTAATTTTATTTTGAAAACTTGATAGTTCTCGTAGCGTTTGGCAGAGTCAGTATTTGTGGTAGCTGAGACTACACAAACTGCTGTAATGATTCCAATTAGAAATAGAAACGTTTTCATTATATCAGTTCTGATGTTTACTATTTAATCGATTGCTTAGTTCTCGTTTAACTGCTTTAGAATTAGCCAATTTTGTGTTAATATGGTTTGTCTTCATATCAGCAGACGATATGATTAGACACTAATCTACAGCTTAGTACTGTGCTTAAATTATTAGTATCAAAACTTGATTAGATTAGATTTAAATGATACAAAAAACTGATACGGAAACAATCATATTGCACCTATATTTGATGGATATTATTGTTTATATCTATAGAAGGGTAGTATCCTACAATGATACTACCCTATAATAGTAATAGGGTTGTAGATACTAAGCTACATAGCATCCTACAATGATACTACCCTCTTTAAGAAACAAAAAATCATTAAAGAATATATTAGATTTTGACTATTGTATTTTGCCCTTTCTAAAATCACTGAAAGATTTTAGTGATATGTCTTCTATACAAAGTCTGTATTCATATTCAAAAGCCGGTGAGAAGTTATCAGTTCAATCATTGTTTTAAAATTCAATCTGTTCATTTTTAGTAGCTATTTGTGTTTCTTATAAAAGTATTTTGAAAAGAAGAGCTTGGTTTAGCGCGACTTTTCATCGTTCGAACATTTGTGGTGGGTTTTACTGGTTTAACCCAGTTTATTTAAGCTTTTGAAGTTATATTTGCTGGCATCCAGAATTAGTTCTGCCATTAAAATCACTATGTGTAGGTGTCCAGTGTGAAGTCATTTGATTCATATTAGCAAGGTTTTATATGATATTGACTGTCTCTCAAACTACAAGAGAGTTTGTCGAACTCGAGCGTAAATCTTAAATGGCTGTCTGACTGACATGAGATTTATGTTTCTGTGTCTAGTTTTCTGATAGCAGATGTTACCTGCAGAGATTTATTTATATTTGTCTCTAGTTGTAGATTCCAGAGCTCGTTGTATCTAGAAAGTTTGAACTATTTCGAGAAAATATATTTAAAATAGAATAAAGGCTGTGAGATGTAATAATAATAATAATTATATAATAATAATTATATACTAATTAATAAACATAAAATGTATTCATGGTCTTTACCAGCAAATACAAACTGCCACCACTCACTTAAACGTAACTAAAATATAGCTCATTTGAACCATCTTTATACTTTAAATATTTGGAGACCCATCTTATATTTCAAATTGATTTTAAACATAGCGGGTATAGGGGTTACAAAGGCTTCTGCGTACTCTACCGCTAATAAAAAAATTTGGAGGATGTAAATTGGGCATCAGTCCTTTCTCATAATCCTGTAGATTTATTGTATTTGCTGTACTAAATCCCATTTTTATTGCAATCAAGTTAACGTTATATACATGTATGTCCCTAGCAGTTGTTTTTGCAAAGTGTAAGATTGCCTTGAAATGTTGTGGTTATTTGAAGTAGTTGTGTATAAATTTATAAGTTAAGACCAAATGATTTTCTGGATTTAAAAACACTGTAAATAATTACAAATTGATCAAGAATAGAAATCGATTTTTATTAAAATCGGATTTTTTAAACTAATTTCAACTGCCTCTAAGAATACTTTATAGTCCTAAAAAGACGGATCAAAAATGTTACGTTGAGCTTACTTGTCCAAATATGCTTATGACATGGTCCGTCTACGATTATAAGAGTACAAATTTAAGCTCCCATTTTTCAATATAATTACTGTAAAAACATAAGATTATTCAAACCGAAGTATGCCGATAGAATATCGTACCGCTATACAATACCCGCTATTGTACGAGGGCTACTTATTAAGTCTTGCGCTTATTATTGAAAACACAGTGGTTAATCAGTGAAAAAGGATTGGTTTTTCGAAGTATTCTCTATAATATGAATACATTTTTGCATTCGATTCAACCTATTTTCAAAACAGTTTAAGCTCTCTGAAGTTGGTATCTCCAAAACTAGGGTTTTGAATGTCTCAATAGTCTGTTCGTATCTAAAAAACTGCTCTCCACGCCTTTTTTTCTTAAAGTTTGGGAACAAGATGAAGTCATTAGGTATCAAGTCGAGACTGTAAGGCAGATGATTAATCAATTCAACGTTTTCAGTGCTCAAAAACTCATTAAACGCATTATAGATCCATGATTCGTAACCTATCATAATGCCGTAGATGTGTTTTGAGCTATCTCGGCCGTACTTTTTAAGCATTTTCTTGCACAAATCATCACCTGCCTTCTTTTAAGCGATTGTTAAATTATGGAGAATCCAACGAGAACAAATCTTTCTGACAGCTAAATGTGTATGTACAATTGGATGTATGCTGGTCCCACTAATGCCCAAGAACGCCTCTACCTCCCGGTAACATGCTGATCCATCTCAATCATAAAATAAAATAACCACTAACTGCGAATGTTCATTATTTAAACATCTCTCCAGTATCTTAAATGTTAGCATGAAAGACATTGTTTACAAATTGGTTTCCTGATCGAATGTAAAATGTTACCACAAAATATTTATGCTTTTGGCAATGCTCTGCTACTATCGATTACTTTTGAGAGCATTTTCTCTAAAAGTACACCAGCCAAATGGCTTTCACAGCAGCGCTTTGGCATGGGTATAAATAGCACTGCAATTGCTGGAATAGTTTTCAGTTAATTCGGAACTAGATGATAAGTTAACATGTTGAAAATACAAATTTTAGTCGTACTTTTGCTACTCAGCACCGTCGTACATGGCGGGATTATTAAGAAACCACCTGCTGCTACTGAAAAAGTACGTTACGATAACTTCAAAGTCTTCAATTTAAAAATTAGTAACAAAATTCAATTGGCGGTGGTTGAAATGTTCAAATCCTTGGAAAAAAGTGTATGTATTACTATTTCACTGTAATCAGACACAATTTAATTTCCACTTTTTTATGTATAAGTACGATATCTGGAAAGAATATGACTCCTCATCGAAGGAGGTGCATGTCATGGTCAACCCAACTATACTGAAATATTTCGAAAAATTGATCAAACTTTTCGGTTTCGAAAGTGAGCTCATGATATCAAACGTACAAGAGTAAGTTGGTTAGAAAAAAAACACCATATCACACACATACGATATGCTCAAACGACAGAGTAATTTAGATTACCGACAAAAATAACGACAAATTCTTTTGACGGCTTGCTGTGTACGTGTAGATAATGAACTGCACTTAAGTACTTCAAATTAGCAAAGACTTTTTAATTGGGCAATAACAGTTTAAAATAATCGCTTATATACCTAAATTCAAGCACCTATTCTTTCCACTTTTGTTAATTGTTTATTGTAAAATTTACAGTCTTATCGATGCAGAAGTGGCGACTACCAGAGCTGACGATGGCGCTACTTTCGGGTGGACGCGCTATTATGAGCTACACGAAATCGAAACTTGGCTGGATGGAATATTGGCTGCTTATCCAGATGTAACGCAGGAGTTTATAATTGGCAGCTCTTATGAAAATCGACCGATACGTGGTATTAAGATTTCGCATAAGCCAGGAAACCCAGTCATATTCATAGAATCCAATATACATGCAAGGGAGTGGATTACCTCTGCCACCGCCACTTGGTTTATAAACGAATTACTTACTTCCACAGTTGCAGCAGTGCGTGATTTGGCCGAAAATTATGATTGGCATATTATTCCAGTTTTTAATGTTGATGGTTTTGCTTATAGTCACAGTACGGTAAATTATTTGTGAATTCAATCGAAAATAACTATATATTTTTGACATGTTTTTCAAACCTTTTAGGATCGTATGTGGCGTAAAACTCGTCAACCTGTCACTACTTCTGCTTGCATTGGTACTGATGCAAATCGAAATTTTGATTCTCACTGGATGGAGAATAATGGCGCTTCAGACAATCCATGCTCAGAAACATATGCCGGCACTGCTCCCTTTTCCGAACCAGAAGCGAAAGCATTGGCTGATCATCTTACCAATATAAAAGACGAAATCAAAATCTATTTATCGTTTCATTCGTATGGACAATATTTATTATCACCTTATGGTCATGTTGCTTCTGATTTTCCACCTAACTATGATGACCTCTTAGAAATTGGTAATGCCTTTTCATCCGCCATAAATAATCTGCAATACCAAACCAGTTATGCCGTTGGATCAACAGCCACGGTTTTATGTAAGTAAATAAATTTAATGATGCTCTTTAAGCAGTCAGTAATTGTCAAATTTGGCGATAGGTTATGAAATTAGATGTTAGTTCAGTGAGTGTTTAGTTTTATATATAGCGAAAGTCAAAAAACCGAAAAGATGATACTGGTTTTCAGCAAAACTTTATTCGATTTGATTTCTTAGAAGTTTTTTCAAATCTTTGAACAATGTCCGCACATTAAATAACCAAAAACATAAGCAAATCGTATAGAAATATAGTACTTTACAATCTTAGAAATTGTACAGTCGATTTAGGCCGGCGTCTTGTCATATCCCTTACTATTCTCCAATAATAAGGGTTACTCAAGTCAGCTGGCACTCAGTTACTGGACAAGCTTCAAGTTTTCTTAAACAAATGAATCAATTTCAAAAATATTCCCAATAATAGCATTGGTTAGTAATGAACTAGAAACCAATCAGTTACTAAAAGTAATTCAAGCTACGAAGTACTCCTACCAAGAGATTTTTTGAAGTATTAAAAACTTTTTATAAATCTGTCATAATTTTTATTTTAGGAAATTACATATGGTCAAGCAATTATGTGACAATCCCAGAAATCTTAGACCGCACTAAGGGAAAAGTACATATACGGTTGCCTTTAGCAGATATTATTTAATGAACGCTTGTCCAGTTAAAGAACCTTTCTAAAATCCAGTTTAAATTTAATTAGACTATAAAACCTGTCAAAGTTTTTGTTGTTCACTCGAATAAACTGTTCAGATTGTCTCAGATCATATCAGATGCATTTGCTAGCAACAGCAAAATTGATCCCACATATTGCAGCACCTCAGAGCTACTTTTAATTATAACAATATTCGTAACATATCGTATCATTAACATCGTATCATTAATTTAATTTTTAATTTTAGATGTAGCATCTGGATCTTCAGTAGATTGGGTGTACAATATGTTAGATGTAAAAATAGGATACACAATTGAATATCGTGATAGGGGACGCTTCGGTTTTGTTCTACCGCCTGTACAAATTATACCAAACTGTGAAGAACTGATGGCAGGTATGCTAGCCTTAGTAGGTAAAAGTAAAGAACTGGGCTATGTATAAATCCAGAAATAAAGTGCAATAAATAAAATTTTTGATTACAAATTAAAGATAAAATTTAATTTTATTTTTGTGATTTTTCGGAAAAGTATTTAATATATGAGGTAAGTAAATCATCAATTTTGTAGCCATGGGTAGTGCTGCATAATAACTTATCAGCTCCAATCATATTACCGAAATGAATATGGAAATATGTATTACCAGAACTCCAGAAGCTAAGCTCATTGTAATCATGAGATTGCAAGATATTCTAAAAGAAAGTATTTTTGAATTTAATTATTTAATTGGAAGTATTAAGACTGTACCTTCGTCTCAACATCGATTATGTGGAATCCGTGACGGTTAATAGCAACCAATATAGTCTCTGGTAAGCTCTGTGTATTCGTTTGGTTCACCAGAAAGAATGTTGAACCAAACATTTTCTGCTGTTCTAAAAGCGTTAAGAAGTTGTGCTTAGCTTGAGTTTCGTTCAAGTTGAGGTCATTTAGTACTTTTATATTGTTGGAAATTTGTTGCTTCCATTCTTGAGATTTCATTAAGGGAATAACGTCTTCAGGTACCAGATGTGGCAACACGTCATGTATACGCTGTAATGGTGCCAGCATATCACCATGATCGGCTTTGTAAATTAATGCAGCGATTTTGATAGCCAGTTCTTTGCTGATCTTGTAGTAGCCGTTCAGATACTTCGGTAGTTCTTGTGGGTAGTAGAAAATCATATCAGCATTCTTATCCTTGCCTGGAACTGTGTTTAACCATAGTTTCTTCATAAAATAAAGCTGATACTGGCAACTGATTTGTGTTTCTGAGTTGCGCGTAGGCATGTTCAATTTTACCCATTGCATCAGTTCGCTGAGGAAGTCAAATATAAACACATTCTCTGGAACAGAGAAGGCTTTATCACTAATTTTAACAAATATACTGAATCCTTCGCGTGACCTTAAGTCTAAACGGTTAGCAATGCTTTGTGATAAATCAGCACCTCGTGTAAAAGACTCAATTTCAAAGGCTTCCACAGTATTGTCTGGAAAATAAATCTATAAGAAGACATTAAAAGTATTGATAACGTTCTTCGAATTCATTTCTTACCTTATGATATATGTGCATGCAACGATGTTGTATACCTTCGACTTCAACGATGTAAGGAGGAAAAAGTCGTTGCCCATTTGTAAGTGTGCGCTTAATGCGCTTCAAACACTCCGCAGCAAGTACATGTGGTCTGCTACGCAAAAACTCATACAGCTCCCTTATAACTAAGCTGGACGGAAAAAACACTCCTGTAGCCAAATACAACAAGTCCCAACCACGTTCTTCGCTGTGCTGCATGCGATTATCGGTTAGCTGTTTCATAAGCTGGCAATAAAGTTCATCTCTTAGACTCTCGTCAGTCAAGGCCGGCGCGAATATTAGATCGGTATTGACAGTTTGTTTACCATGTGGTATATCACCCATGTACTATACAAAGATATAAAAATAGGAATATAATAAAAAAGTATATTCATTGAAATAGATTACTAACTCTTAGCACATTCTGAAACATAAGAACTGCCTGCTCAAATAGTTCTGATTTTTGTTGTAATTGTTTAAGTAGTGGAGCTTTTAACAAATCTCGAGAATGACGCCAAAGTTCCTCGTCCTTTGCTCTAGCTGTATGCATATGCCCCAATTGTGCTTGTATTGTTACCCTGAAATGTTCCTTTGCAAATTTTTGCAACGTGTGCATACGCTGTCTCTGTACGGTATTGTAAATGGTTGCAGTTTTAAATTTTCTTTCTTTCTCATGCTCCATGCTATCCTTATAGATCTGTACAATTTTTTTTGTTGGTCTCGCTAAGGTTGCCAACACGTTTACCACCTTTGTAAGGAACAAACCCTTCTCACCGTTGCAAGTGCCGTAAGCAACTTGATTACACACATCTAATACTTCAGCACCAGTTACGCCAGTATCAAACTGTACCAAATCTCCTTTCTCCAAACGTAGGTGAGTGTCTGCTTCTAATTCACTTGGTTGATAGTTTTGAATTGCTATACCATACTTAGAGCGTAGTTTCAGATTATCCAACATATAATTTATGAGCACCGCGACATCGTATGACTCATAACACTTAAACACAAAGTCCTCATTTTGCACTGTATCTAAGTGTAGTTCCGCAATATTCGTACCTTCATCGGAGACCGCATATACGGTGGCTATTTCGGCGTAGCACAGCTCGGCAAGCACCTGTTCAGTTTCGTCTATGAAATATACCCCATTGGAGTTTATTGCAATGACTAAACTGTCAGTCGTCAATTTCGGTCCAGTAGTTAATACAGCTTCAAAGAAACGTGAGAACATCATTGGCCAAGCGATTTGTGCAAATAAGCAGATGTCTTCTTTGGCTTGGTATTGTGGTGCACGTGTTTTGACATATTCATTACTTAGAAAAGTTTCTCTTATCAGCGACTCCCACATTTTCATAGCTTTTTCTCCGGTTGACAACAAGTCTTTGGGTACTATATCTGGAATCAATTTACGTAAGATCTGGAAGGAAAAATAGACTTATTATTATATTATATTATTATCTTATTATTATATACGAACTGAGTCATCTAAAATTGCGCCATTTTCCGCATAATACTCCAATGCACAAATCATTGCAATGTCCTTTTCATTGCGACATCGGTACTCCCCATAATTTAAGCCACGGGCGATCTGCAGAAATATCAAAAATTACTCAACTGATCTAATGACGTTGTTTTTTTTTTGTTTTTTTGATTGGAACGAATATATTACTATTATAAAAAAATATTATATTTATAATATTACAATTGCGAAATAACATATCTTGTTTTCTATTTGATACGAAGGGGTGGTATAAAATATATGGTAAGTTTTAGAAAGGCGACTGTCCTATTTGCTATTGTCACTTAATTTTTTAGTTTTTAAATACAAATTATTGCTTATTCATATAATCAGACGAAAACCTTGCAAATTGTCTTTTAATCAGAGTTACTATATTGCGTGGTTAATAATGAGTACATAATTTGGGTTAAAAAACAATAACTATTTATCGCACTTTTGAAAGAATTTTTCCACTATTGTGTTGGTGTATTACTCGAGAAGTAATGAATAAAAGGAAATACGTTTGTCTCTGTGATTTATATACGATGAACTGATGAGCACCAAAATAATCAAATAATTAGTAAATATGACACTTGAGATATCTAACGAATGATAGCTGCATGCAAAAAGGATATTTCATTCCAAACAAATAAAAAGTAAAAACTCTTTTAGAATATATAAAGGCACTTGCCAATCTTGGAAAAAATTATACCAATAGAATAATTTTTAATGAACATAAATAGTTTTTATACTGTAGTATATTGTTACAGCCGATTAGTCAACATTGAAAACGATAGACAACAACTAACCCGATGTGGAAATATTTCTTAAAGCCTAATATATAAATACAAATTTATGCATGTAGCTTTACCTGATCTATCATATTTCTGTTACCTGCTTGTATATTAAATGAGTTGATAACTGATCTAGTGCTGGATCGTACCACGTTGAAAACATTTCTTTTCGCATATAAAGTTTCCAAGGTGCCTTTCTTTCATTATGTCCTTGCTCTTTCGTGTACTGTTCACAATTAGAAATAGCGTCTAGTATGTGTTCACGTCCATTACCCAAAGACATAACCTTGTCATATAGTGAAACTACAATTGAAAAACCAAAATAATCAATCAAACCCATGTGTTCGGCTAGCTGGTGGATGGCTTCTTTAGCTGTAGATGCTGAGTCCACTTGGAGCTTTTTCACATTCCCATCCATAAGGTAAACTTGCAGAGCAATAGGTGATTTATTACGTGTCGCTTGTAACTCCAGCCAAGAGGGTGGTTGTGTGCGTGGCCCATTCTGTATAATAATAGAAATATGTATATAACAACACCTGGTGTACAAAATGGTTATAAATATTTCTTATTTCTTGCCTTCATCGTGCGATCTAAACGGTTTTCACAATATGGAGCAAATAGTGTTGGACCATTACGTATAAAGCAACGTAAGTAGTTTTCGAAGCGCTTACTTGGTGGAAAGCACCCAATGCAAAGCGACAGCAATATCCAACCCTTAGCAAAAGATGTTCGGTAAGGATTATTGGAAAGTTGCTTACAGATTTGTGATAAAATTTCATCTCTGAGGAGAAAGAGTGAAGAAAATAAGTAAAAATTAAAAGTTTGTCGGACACGAATATTAGCTATTAATTGATATTATTAGTTAGTTTCAGTTAACTGTTAACAACTGCTTCAGATTATTAATCAATTCTTCACAGTTTCTTATTTTTACTAACTACTATTAACCTTAGATTTGGTCTCAATATGCCATGTCCAATTATAAAATGTAATTTATCCAAGTTGCTATTTCGTATAGTGATCACTTGCTGATAATATTCGAGCTCCTCGCTATTGTCCAAAGCCTTGCGCAGCACATCTGGTAGCTTTGTTTTTCGTTTCAAAGTTTTACGTATGAGACGTTGATGATTTGTTTCACCCATTGACTGAAGCGCATCCTGAAATTCCTTATTCTGCACAACACTCTTGGAAAGATTTTGTGTCAAACGCTGCATAACGCTAGATTTAATAGTCCCAAATTTGTTATGATCAGCAACAGGATCAGCTTCAAAGTCCTCGTCGTATTTCGCTTCAGCCATATCACCCATGAAACGTAATATCATTACCCAAATGACCTAAAATGTATAAGGAGTTAATATTGAAATATGGGCGTACTCGTAGGGCGATGAGAAATTTGTAATACCTGTGCCGCAATTTCGTCGATTGGCAAGTCATGATCCAGAAGCGATTTTTTCAGTGGTTTCTTGCTGTAATGTCCAGAAACAGTAGAATTGAAATACGTAGCAGCAAACTTGGCAAAGCTGTACTCCGATATGTCCAGTTGCGTTGCTTTGGGCTTTGGCATACGTATAGTACCGCCAGTCGAAATTGCCTTTCGTAGGGGCTGCAAAACAAATAGAAATGAGTCAAAATAAAGTCAAAAAGATTACAAAAAATTTCACTCTTGTATAAATACAAGTAAACACTATGCGTAATGTCACTCAGTCTAACATTAGCGATTTGTTTACTCTACTTATCATATCTATAAGCTCTGCGTTTATCTAACCGCCACTTTGGCGAATACGCCCCTCTGCCTAGTATCCCTAATATAGATAGAATGGCATTAATTCATTTAAATAGAATGCAAGACATTTGACAGGCAATAATCTGACCTGCTTACTGCCAATTTTTTCGGATTGAAGTATTTAGCCGTCCGTCGACTGTTGGTTGTTTACCGCACAGCCAACGGCAGAAAGAAGCATTTATGGTGCGTATTTGAGAGCACTTGTCGGTGAGTAGTGGGTTGTAAATTAGGCATTTTATCATATTTTTAGACGGTTTAAAAAAATTTATGTCTTTTCATTTCAGCGCTGAACTGATAAAGTATTTTAGTAGTTTTTAGAAATTCGGTAAAAGATAAGTGGGCTTACTAGGTAAAGCACTAAGACTTGGAGTTCTCTTGTTGTAGTTTAAATACCATAAAGTTCTAAAGATTTCTACATTTAGTCGGTATTCGGAAGTACGCTTGAAGGTTTGTGGAAGACTCACTACAGAAACTAGCAATAAAAAATTCGATTTAATTGTTTCCACTGTATTGGTAAATAAAAATTTTAATACACATAAAATTAAATAATTCAATTAAATAATTTAAATTAAATTATTTAAATTATTTAAAATTTGAATTAATATATTTTTGTTTGATCAACTATATTTTTTAACTATTTGAACATTTTTTTCACTCATCACTAAGCGGATATATGTTAAGGTTTAGTTCAGCAGTTTTTAGTGGTTTGTTCAGATAAGCTACAACTATTTACTATTAACTATTTATTTTTATATGACACTATTTATAGCTAATAAAAGTACTTCTACACCGGAGAACAAAGAGCCCCGAAATATGTCAATTTTAATTAGGCAAACATCGGAGCCAACACATAATTTCAGTCGTAAAATTGGTAATAAAGCCATAAAGCTATAAAACTGTAATTATGGTGAGTATACTTCAGGAGGAGTGATATTATATCATATGTACAATATGGAACGATGATCCATATTAGTGCGAATTGATAGTTCTAAAAATATGTATTAACAAATAATTTGATACAGTAGATAACAAAACACAATAAAATAAATTTTTGACAGTGTATGATTAATTAATAAACTGTGAGGAAAAATAAAAACATAAGATGATTAAAATGATGAAGACAAATAACTCGTATTTGGGAAAATATTAAATAGTTTTTAGAAATGTTCATTGTATGAAAAAATATAATATGTAAAGTTAATTTATTTTTTAAGACTTACAGTTTTTGAATGTGAGTATTTAAACCTTTTCAAAAGCAATAGATTTTAAGCGACTGTCGCATATATAGAGTAGTGTCCCATGGAAGGATAACTAATAGGGTCTTGAAATGTTATTAAACGATCATGGAACAGCGACTAATCACTACAGGCAAAAATTTGTTGTAAAAGAATGATTATAACTTTAAAAAAATGGATTTCGAAAAATGAATTTGAAAATTACGATTATGATACTATATGAATATGCATACATATATAATAGATAATAGTAATGTTCTCTCATGAAAGAAAAAACCTAATTCTGTTATTATGAATATAATATTAATGATATATGTTGTTAAAGTGTCGTAGCTATAAATGTACAAAAGAGATAATAAAAGACATTTTTGACACTGACTATATCACACTATATAGTTTCTGGACTCTGTTGATTGTATTATAAATATTTAACCAGAAACTGTACTTATGCTGTGGCTGAAGCAGAGATGTTGTATAGTGAATATAGTGTATAGTGTTAAAGTCTCGGTCGTGTTAGAAAGAAAAAAAAATTGTAATTTATTAAAACTGTAATATAGAAGTATAATTGTAAAGGCTTGTTAAATATTTTTTATGTTACTTTTAGAAATCAGAAAGTCTGCATTATATGAAGTTGTTGCTGGGCTTTAAGAGATTACATGGCATAAGTGCTTTGCTAGAGTGTACAACTCATCTATAAAGTCTTTGGTGTTAATATATTGTAAAATCACCAAATTCTAATAAGAAATATAAAACGAAAGCCTAAATGAAGTCTTTTTGCACATTATTATTTGATCGTGATTAAAGAACTTTCTGACTTACCGTTCTTTTACGTCCAAAAACATTTAAATTTAAGTTAAAATTTTTATTTTCTTAGGAATTGTTAATAGAGTCATCAAAACTAAATAGAAGGAAGACTAACCAGAATCAGATCAGAATCAGAATAGCACGAAACCATATGACATTTTTCATTTAATACATATGAGGAAAAATATACAATAGGTTTGATATTATAGTGATGTGGCTCTTGCCCTGTTAAAAAGAGTATGAAAATGCGTGGTTGTATTTTGGTATGATTACATATGTGTTATTTGCTTCAAATTATAGGGTTATTTATTAATAGAATAGGTGCAGGGAAATTAACAAGCCATTATATGCTCTAGGAAAGAAATCTTCCTGGTAATAGGAAAATGAATCATTTGGATAATATAAGGTCAAAAAATATCTGAGCGTTGGAGTCTATGAAGAAAAAACTGATATAGAACAATAGACCAACCAAATTTTAGTCATACTTAATATCAGGAGAAGAATTAGAAACAATTAATCTGGCTCAAAGTTTTTGAAATTCCACTAGTTGGCTATGTTGGCTACGGCATAGCAATATGAGTCTAATGACGATAATGCAATATGAGTCTAATGACGACATATGCAAAATAATATTTTTATAAAAATATTTCTTATATATTTTCTTATATTGAACAAGATGTGAACCGTCGTTATGATTAGTAATAGCAGTGAATATAATAGAGATAAGATCATACATGTCTATTTTAAGAAAGGAGTACATGGAGTTTATGGAGTACAAAATAAGTGAATAGTTTATAATTCGAAAGAAATTAAAAAGTTGATTGCGAGTTCTTAGGTCTACTATCATATTTTTAAATAGCATTTATTGTGTTTGCTTTTATTTTGATATGCCTTAAAGTTTGAATATTTAATTTGGTGTTAAAAATTGTTGTAAATGAACAAATAGCTTTAAAATAATATAGTAAAGATATAGTCTCGATTTAAATAAGTATTAAATCATATAAATGACGTTTCATCTGATTGAAATACATATTTAAAAGCCAAAGTTACTCATCCAAATAATTAATGGTAGGGCACCACATAACTGTCTTATGCTAATGCTTTTTTAACTACACTTCTATGATAACAGCATGCATGCATTATACGAGCAGACAATACACTAACCGTAACCATTACCACACAAAAGCAGTTACATATACTATAACTAAATTATTCGAATAAGCAAAAAATACATACGTGTATATATAGTTCAGTAAACACAACATAAGAAAAATAAATTTTCAATATTTTTTAATATATATTTACAGATTTGTGCTTTATTTACAAATTGTGGTACTCATATTTCCCATTTTAGGAGTGAAAAAAATAAAAAAAAATTGTGATTGTCTATGAAAATATTTCTCAGGATAATATCAACTTAATATACTATATATATGTAATATTAAAATAATTTATATAATTTTCGGTACATTTATTTCCAAAGTTTATTAATACTGCAGTTAGAGAGGAAGAAGAGTTCGAAAAGACAGTTAACATAATACTAATAAAAGTCATGAAAGGGGTACACAGTTCAAACATTCGAACCATATTATACGTTTTTTTTGGGGTCCGAATGTTTTTATATTATATTATTATATTTTCATATTATAATTAGAAAATAGTAACTTAAAAATTTATTTGCAAGATTCTGTAATTAGCTTAGATATAAATTTTACGAATCAGAATTAAGCTATCAATAACTTTAAAATCAATAACTTTATAGGGATGTTCGAAAACAAAGCTCTAGATCTTTTTCTCTATTTCGAATGTTTTTAGCTATAAAATATTGAATTTTATATATATCATATATAATAAAATTTTTATAATAAAATTAAAAATTAGTTAATATTATATTCGTTTAAAATTTTATTTGTAGTGTTCGAAAACAATTCATTGTAAGGAAAATATTTTAATATGTAAAGCAAAAAATGTAAATGATATTACCATAGATTGGACTCATTTAATACATAATATGTTTAAATTTTAAACTGTTTTATTATACTAAACATGCTTTTTAATTTAGAAATAGAGAATACTTTGACTTTCGAACTTTTAAGTTTCGAATTTGGGTTGAATAGGAAGAATACCATATCTGTTTCTTGTTACTTTTATCATGTATTATAGTGACATAAAATTATAGTTTTAATTAATAATAAAATAATTCAGTATTACATGAAATTTTTAATTATTCATATTTGGCATCAGTTGTAGGTACACACTTTGTATTTCTTTGCTCTTAATTATTTTTAATTATATTATATAATAGTTTGCAACTATTTTCCTATTGAAATTACCTTTTCGAACAAGTGTACCTTTTGTTTTTTTTTGAATATGTATAATATTATTTAATATTATTATTTTAATCAAAAAGCAATCTTCTTGCTTTGCAGAAGATATTGAACTTAAAAGTAATACTAATATTGCGTATTCGAATTAATTTTCGAATAACAATTATTTAAATAAAAGAAAAACTTTTTGAATTTTATAAACTCTCAGGTACCGACTAGATTTAGTTTTATATTATAAGCGTTATACGGACTTTCTTTTTACTAACATTCGCTATAACTACTTCAACTACTAGTGTTAACAAAATATATTAGAACTACAGCGAGTTTATATTCAACTTAGATTATTCAACTTAATTAATTAACAAACTACTTATATACACGTATGTATGTGTGTATGTATGTACATAAAGGCGTTAAAGATTAATATATAAAGTACTACTAGATATACTCATATGTATATAAACAACTATAATCTTGTCTGATTTAAGATTTTCCTAGGTGGTGGCAGAGGTGCTTCATAATAATTGACTGGACGTGATAATAATTTCGACGGAATATTTTTTTTAATACGTAATTCCCGTTCGAACATTAAAGACTTCTCTCTAACGTTAGGACCTATAGGACCACTCACATCAGCATCATCCAAAAATCCAAAAACATCATCCACAATTTGTTTTGATGACTCCACGTCTATGTAGTTGTTGTTATCGATATTCTCTATATTGCTACTGTTACCATTGCTACTATGATTATTAGGTAATGCTTCTTTACCATTTACTGTTGCGGTACTGCCATTAACTGCAACGCCATTTAAGGCTTGCAATCGTCGTTGATGATTGGCCTCAGCTGTAGCTTGCCAATGTCTGTCTCCAGTTTGTTTAAGTTTTTGTTCTTCCATCCTGCGCAATTGATGCAATTCGCGTAGTTTCATCAGACGTTCACCATGTTTTGCTTGGAATTGTTGTCGCACTAAACGACCACGACAATAAGACTGTAGTTTGGTAATACGTATACGCAACAAGGAAAAGCGATATGTTAGTTCTTGCGCTGCTACACATGCTGCGAGACGATGGAAACCCCGTTGCATTACCTTAAAGTCACGTCTTTGCTTGTGACCGCGCCAGGTCTTTTGTATTGTGACCACTGCTTGACGATATTTGCGTAGGTAGCGCATGAATAATACTTTTCGGAAACCACGTTGCAATGTTATAATCGATTTTAGTATTTTACGTGATCGTTCGGTCTCTAAATAGTTATCGTCACAATCTTTAAGAAATACCTTTAAGCGGCCGAACTGGTGATCTGAATTCTTTGGCAGTAGTTTTTTGCAAATTTCTTCAGTAACACTACGATAATTATTTTGATTAATTGGACTCTTGCCTGGTAGTAGTAAACGATATCTCTCTGCGAAATCTTTATATGTATGACGTATTGGATAACCTGCGCGACGGATCCGCGCTGTTTCCATCATTCCAGAGTAACGTAGTTGACGCACGCACAGATCTTTGTCGAATTGCTGAAAAATAAGAACAAATTAGATTTAAGTTTCAATTAAGCCTTAAAACACTAGTTTTACACATTACACAAAAATTGTCATCTTAATTTTTCATATGCTATTGTATCTTTTTGTGTCATTTCAAAGCAGTAAAATATATTATTTTCGGATATAAATGCAAAGTGACATTATTTTCAGAATACAGGGATAAAACATTTCAAAAAATTTGCCTTAATATTGCTCGTATGTAGGCTTGCACTTTTACTAAAATATATTTTTTATACAGCAAAATAAAAAAAATAGGACGAATGACTTTTTGCCCTTTAAAAGCAATGATATTTTACATTATTTGCATTCAAGAGTATATATATCGAGCAGAATAAAAACACTTCAATTAAATTTATATTAACATTTATTACTTAAACACAGTACATATCACTTATATTTAATAGCCAACTGAATTAAACGAAAGAAGAATTATAATTAAAACTATTGTCAAGTTTTCAAAAATAATCATTTTTGTAAATTACTTTGATTATTTAATACTATTAGCGTAAATAGCTCATTAAGACTATGAATGTACCTTTAATAGAACCATAAACCATTGCTGTTTCAATAATATAGTATAACAGTTGGTCTGAAGAGTCCCTGCTCTGATTCATACATATGTAGTGCACTCGTTTTATTCATCAAAAAACTCTTCCAACTTGAATATAACTATTTCATTGTTTGTCTTTGTTTTTTACGTTTTTGATCTTCTTTATCAAATAAGTGGAGGCCTTTATGATTCCACGGATTTATAAGTCAAGGCACATTTCTTTCTTTGAAACAACATTTTGAGATTAAATACGTGGGTGTTATAGGATAGAGATAAAGCATATGCAATTGAAGATGCAATTCGGATGATCCATCGTTATTATCGACTAGTAGCATTTTTTGTGATTTCATTTGTTATAGAATTTTTGTGCTTTTTAGTTAGTCAGTAAATAAATATAACTTTTAATATTGCAATACTAGAGCGCATCCCAAAAAATAGGTGCCGATTAATATGTCGTTAGTTATATTGGTTGACTTTTACAAATTCGCATTCATGTACTTAGCTGACTGCAAAGTCTCTCCGAAGTGTATTCATAATTGTATCAAATAGTTTTATGTTAGTATTATCCATAGTTTTATATCGCATGAAGAAAATATTAGTGTTGCGCTTGAAAACAAATAAGCAGCGCTTTGAATATATGTCAACGCGATAAATGTCAAAGAATTATAACAAAAGTACTAATAATCAAACCAGTACGCACTACGATGATTGACATGTTGGAACGAATTTTTTTCAAGATGCGAAATCCATATATCAGACCTATATATGATATATGATATCAGGTACACGTTTTCAAAAGTACTAATAATTAAACTAGTAGGCACTACGATGATTGACATGTTGGAACGAATTTTTTTCAAGATGCGAAATCCATATATCAGACCTATATATGATATATGATATCAGATACACGTTTTCAGTGCACCTATTCAATATAAAATAATTGAACTAAAATTTTTTATTTAAAAATTCAAAGATTTGTTTAGTCTGAAGAAATTAATAAATTCAAATGTTAATATGCCCTGAACAAATCAATAAGTCTTAAGTCTTATAAGTCTTATAAGCTTGCGAAAAAAAATTTAATTGAACTTCAATGTACAAAAAATAGGCAACAATTTTCAAATAAGTAATGTAACTGAATTCTCACTTACGTTTGGTTTCTTGAACTCATTCGGTTTGATGCATCTTATGAAGAACGGATGAGCGGATGAAAGAGTACGCATGAGCAAATCTAAGGAGTTTCGGAATTTAACTGACAGAGTGACTTGTTTCTTTGTAGTATCACTCGGCACATCTGTCGGAAATATACCAACTAAAAATTTATTTGTAGATTTGCTTATAACATCACGCAAATCAGTGCTGAATGCATCACGATTCTTCTCCAAAAATCCATGTGGGTTGTACATAACCACTCCAGCATAATGACGTATGCCAAATAACGAAGGTTGGTTTGATTTGGGCTTGACATATATGGAACGATTTCCGTGCTGAACATGGAGTTTTTCCAGTAACGTGTAGTCAGTGCCTGTTGATTATAAAAATCAGTTTAGCTTGTAGTGATTGATGTTATTGGTAATAAGAGTACAAAAACTATACATACCTTTAGGGAATTTAGACTCTTCATCAATAAGTGACATTATATTTACGGATTTCATACCGATTAAGTCGAGTATTTCTTGATTGTCTTGAAATTCAATGTGCTGCCAGTTTATGCCCTCGTTTTTATACTCTGCTTGTTCCATCTATGAAAAAAGAATATTGATTTAGTTTATTTTTAAGAAGTTACCATTAATCTATTCGATATGAAAATTACCTTGAAAATATGTTTAACGAAAAACTGTTGTAGATTTTCATTAGCATAGTTTATGCACAATTGTTCGAAACTATTATTATCAAAGTTTTCGAATCCGAAAATGTCTAGCACTCCAATAGAATTGACAAACTTGCCCGTCTGCTTATTGATGGTCTCATTTATGCGTTGTACAATTCTGATGAATATTCCGCCATATAGAGATTTCACAAATGCATCGCGACCCTCAATAGCTGTTTCCTTTGATAAACTTGTGACTACATGTTCACCGTGAACGAAAATAGTTCTTTGCGTAAGTGCAGCAGATAGTGAATCCTTTTTTATTCCTAATAGTTTAGCAACCCTGTTCAAATTGAGTTCATCATCAACTTCGGCAGCGTCCATATTTTGTACAACAATAGCCTTAAAATACATATTTCCTAAGTGTAAAATCGCCGCGAGTAGACTAAATATACACCACGACTCTTCCGGTTTAAAGGATAGTACTTGCATAGCCGCGCGCATATCAATAAAATCTTTGGCATCATTTTTACCGGCTAAGTTTCCACTGCCACCTTGCGCCAGATAAAAGTACTTGGTTGGGGATGTCTCCAAGAGTTCCAGTTTATTGCGCTCTTCTTTACTTAAACCAGCTAACATACAATAGAATATGTGATAGTTTCTTTCATCCCGGTTTTGTGAGACAATGCGCGACTTTTCTAATAAATATTGCTCGATTTTGGCACTCTGTATACTGCCCTCAGCAGTGAATCTAATATCGATGTATTTACCAAAGCGAGAGGAGTTATCATTGCGTACAGTTTTGGCGTTACCAAACGCCTCCATTATCGGATTGGCTTCAATGATTTGTTGTTCTATCCAGGAATGTTTGCCACTAATAGCAGCCAAGTACTGTAGTATGAGTTTTGTGCTCTCGGTCTTGCCAGCACCAGATTCACCACTGATGACTATGCATTGATTTGCTTTATCACGTTTCATTTCCTGGAATGCATTATCACTAATCGCAAAAATATGAGGAGGTAGTTCGTTGATTTTCTTGTTCCGATATAAATTAATTTCACGCTTTGTATAGATAGGCAGAACTTGATAGGGATTTATGGCAACCAACATTGAACCAGTGTAAGTCTGCAATATTATAAAAATAGTTGTCGAGGTTTTATAAAAGTTACGAGGTTATTAATATGTGGATACTTACATAAATTTGTTTTTTTTTATAACGCATTTCTAAATTTCGTAAAATGGCATATTCTTGTAGATCTCCCAATGTGATCATATCATCAACTCCATTTTGTGATGTCAAGTGCATTGCTTTCACAATATCACAGGAGGGTACCCAAAACTGTACGTCGTCATCTTTGCAGATTAAAGTTTTTGATTTGTCTGTTCGTATAATTCGTGCCCCGAAAGGTACCGAGAATTCACTGTTGTTGTTTTGAGTTTTGACCCAGACATATTCTCCCTGCAATTTAAAATAGAGTGAGGTGATATAATAAGTTATTCACATTTGTTTTATTTTATTGCAAACGTGTAGAAAATTTATAATAAATTCTCTAGTAGGATATTCATGACTATAGTGAAGGGTATTAGAGCTAACTTGTAAAGTATATTTTTTAGTATGTAATTTAAATGAAATTTATTATATTACAAAAGTTCACTTTTGAACAGATGGAGGTTTCTTACATTAGTTTACATCAGTCGATTCTGTTGTGATTAGCAGATAATGCAGATAATGTCCAGGTTTGCACTGATTGTGGAGGTTAATACAGAAAATTCTAAGAGATTTTTATTAACTCCCGGCACACATGGGTGTTTATAATGGAATGATTGAATCAGGATACGGCAGCATCGCTGGCTCCTGTGCACTCTCCAACTGAGATGAACGACTTTCAACGCTCAAGTGCATTAGAGCTAGCACTGAGCTAGCTATCTTTCATCGAATCAAGGGTATTCTTATGTGTATAAACAGTAATAATGAACTTGTGTTTCTTTTGTTTGGAACTACATACAAATTAGAATAAAGTGGAATAAAGCTCTTAGAAATAATAAACTTTATCAAAATGCAATAAATTTTGAGAACTAAAGTACTACATGACCAAAGCACGTAGGTTCTTTGTTTTCTCAGAAACTTTTATTGATTCTTTTTAATTATTTTAAGCAGCAGTGAAAGTTTTAGCGAAACGTATAATTCTATATAAATCGTGAGGTCTTAGTCTTATTTTTAGTCCATACTAAATAATTTCAGCTGGTTCCCAAGAACCATTTCAAATAAAATTGCGGTTTGATATGCAATTAAATACTAAAGTTAGTTATCCAAACTATTATGACAAATTATTTATATTAGTCAACAGAACGTTGTATGGATTCTAATATTTGGATAAATTAGTCATGGGACGGACAGACGGATAAACGATCAAGTTACACGACGTATGGGGTTCACATAATATTGTTTTGATATTACACTTTAAAATTGCTTTAGTAGAATGCATGTAATAATTATTTTAATATCACGAAACCAATCTACATAAGAGAAACTATTAAGTTTAAGATCATACCTTATTAATCTATTCTGAAATTCATAAAATTTATTGACATGGTCGCTCAATCAGAGCTAAGATGTCATTTTTTAGATTCTCAATACCGATTAATTATAATACTTGCTGTTATGAAAAACTATGTTTATTTTGTTCATTCAAATGAATATTTTATGATTGCGGATAATTTTAAAAGTGACAAAATCTTTTACATAGAAGCAGACGAATTAAAATGAATCCATATTCCATAAAATTCGTATGGACGAAGAATTACCAACACAGATTTGTACTAAAATCAAATTTCAAATTTTTTTTGGAAGAAAATTTTATCTAATAAATAAAATCTTGTCCAATCCTGACTAATTTGGACTGACACGGCTTTTTGAGTTTGATATGGACTTCATCAATATTAAAGTGATGACATATAATAAAATGTACTACTATTGAAAATAAATTGCAAATAACACAAATAGAAGAGGCGACAGGAGAGGTTCAGATTTAGTAATGACATGAAATTTTTATGAATCCATACGATTATCCATTTTAGATTTCCATTCGATAGTACAATTTCAGTGGTATTTACCAAACAATCAAACAAAACGGTCATTCAAGGCATCAAATTTCTAGTATAAATTTCAATATTTAGAAATACTTTCCCACAAAAATAGTGGTTCTCTAGTAGAAATATTTCTGAAGAAATGCTGCAGTGATGAGACTTATTATTTTTTTTTTTGCTATAGCTGGAGCTGTGAGACAGTAAGTTCACAAGTTAACTCTCAAAAGACTATTATATCCGCAAAAAGTCATTGGATAGTATAACAGTTGGTCATTAACTCCTGAGGTGAGATAGAACCGCATTTTCTTAAAAAAGAACGAATGTGCTCTAAAAATCATTGAATCTCATCGGTATGTAAGTAATTTTTTCTCAAAAAAATTGATATGGATATGGAGGACATGTCTGGCTTGTGGCATACAAGTTTTGCTTTAACTTTATTGCAGGGGATCCTAGCTACAAGGATCTCACATTTTGTCACTACTGCATTTTATATGTGGGGTGACATTTCTCAAATTCCTTAGGTGCAATACACTTGTCTTAGGTTTCCTTAGGTGCGGTACTCTTGTCTGCCTTGTGAAGTCTTGGTGTCTTGTGGAGAAAATTTTAAAGGTTGCTGTGTTTCACACTTAATGACAAAATTTTAATGATATATTGACAAAATTTTAATGGAAATTTCAATGACAAATGTCGTTTTTAAAGTCATTTTTCGAACCTTGTCTTAGTGCAATTCAAGGGACCAAGGTAAAAGTAAAAAATACAATATATGCTTCTATATATGAATTAAATTGCCTGAGATATGAGAGTAAAATAGTACGAATTTAATCGACGGGAGTAAAAGATAATATAAAGACAACCAATCTGAAGAGTTGGAAAATGGTAGGAAAAATCATGTATATGTATGATTTCAGAGTGTACAGCAGATTAAAAGGTGATAATAATTTGTCTCATTGTTGAGCAAAGGGTAAATATTGCCGTAAGTAAAAAAATATAAAGATAAACCAGAAAGCAATTAGTACTTCATAATTGTATGCATCTAATAACAGTTCTATTAAAAACAAGCTTTACAATTATTTAATAAAACTACACATTTGTTTTTTTTTTTTTTTTAATTTTTTTTTTCAATAAAACATTGAATCTTTCATTTAGAAACTAACAAGAAATGAATTAAATCTTAAAACTAAATTTATTTTTTCCCTAGACCATTGCTTTGGAAAAAACTATTAACACTAAATAATTTAAAATAAAATTAGGTTTAAAATTAAAATCAAAATAAAAATTAATTCAATTAAAATTAAATTAAAATTAAATTAAAATTATTGCAGTAGAATATAGCACTATATATTACCATTATTATTGTAGAATATAGCACTATATATTACCATATTGCAGCACTATTTCAAACAAATTAAGTTAATCCTGGCAAACATTTTTCGAGAAATATGGGTGAAACCTGTGAATGGTTCTTCTATTAGTTTAAACAACGAAATATATATATTCATTTAATTTTAATATTTGAATTTTCAGAAAGTATATATAACTATTGTTGTGATCAGCAGCTGACTTGCCTATTTTAGAGACAGACTCATTATCCAACGTATAAGATATAGATTAAAACAAAATCATCCAAACTGAACTATTAAAAGCCAAAAAATCCGTGAACATTAAATGTCTAAAAATCGATTTGAACCATTTGTAATAATATTTCTCTCAGTAGATACGAGTAGTAATTTTTGAGATCCTATCTATTACTACAATAGACTTCTTTAACTATCACTTAAATGCGGTGATTTTTTGGCAGCAACTGTTCTCTGATATTCGTTTATCCGTAATTTAAATTATTTGTAAGTAAATAAATTATTTTGTAAATGAAAGAAGAAATCTGCAGAGTTCTTAAATCAGGCGACTTCCAATATTCCAGCACATGTTGTTCTTTTTAATGTGATCACCTGTTGAGGTCATAGCTAGCTTATGATTTTGGTAATAAATTTTCGCGGCTTCGTTTTGAAAAGTGATAAGAATATTTTGACAGCTGAGAATTATATATTAGGCAGAATTACATAGTTCAAATAAATAACTTTCACTTTCGTAGAAAGTATGTGCTTTCTATGAGCTCACCTTTATAATTTTAAAGAAAATAACTTTCATCGCATGAGCACAGAATGTTCTGATTTTGAAGATACAGTAAATCAGGTATTGTCACAATGACAAGCAAATGATATCATAATGCAAAAATAATGACAAACGTCAAATACTTAGTTGAGTGCTATTTCAAATGATTTCATTTCATTATAAAATGATTATAAATAACATTAAATCAATGGTAAGTGCTTAAAAATAAATTAGTTCAGGTGTAAGTATATAATCTCAAACATATCAATACCTACGTACTTCTATGTTTATACGATTTGTGTTTGACTACTGTTTGACTATTGCTTCATTCACTTTTAGAAATCTTATCTGCGGAATGCATGAAGCATGTTGCTTTTGAGCCGTGGATTCTGAGATATATCGCATAAGGTGATTAAGTCTTACCATATGTCGAAAATGGTGTGAGGAAGAGGTTGAGAGGAGTGCAGGCGCTTAAAACAATCGTTCCATTATCAGCGCGCAATCAAAGTAGGCAACACGCTTTCACTGATTATAATATCGCTCATATTAAGTAGTCATGCTCCGCATTTTATCAAATCGATCGAATAAATCCACTGCCGCCTCTGCATGTCATATGGGTGACGTCTCTCGTGATCCACCAACTTTACTAGTCGCTGCCAATACAAACACACACTGACCATTCATTCATTTAAGTAAATGCATTTTAGTTCAGTTCCTATTCGAATGAAAGTTTTTTTTCGCGGAGGTGGAATGAGGTGAAAGGAAGTGCATTCTGCTGCGAATCAAAGGGTTGCCAACGTTTCCCACCGGGTACATTGCATTTCTTATTGTTTTTCATATCGAACTGATTTTGTTTGTTTCTGATATATTAGTTAATTTTCTTTATTCGTTATTAGTTCTTTTGTTTTTTTCCCTTTGATAAAATTTTAATATCTTCATGCCTTTGATTAGATAATAGCGCTAATTATGTGTATTTATGGAAGCTAAAGTTGTCAGAAAAGCAAATAAAATGCGGAATATTTTTAAAACTTTTTCAATTGAATCACAAAAACAAAAAACCATCGTTGTGTGCGGTTTATTTTCAAATTACTTGGGAATTTTTAATATATGTACTCATTACTTTAGTTGCTTTTACTAATTATTTTGTCTCATATTCAATATTAAATTTATTATTTACACACTTTTTGGTTGGGCCTTTCTTATTGTATTTCCTTCGCAAATGTTAATTGATAAATTTGGAATTTTGGAATTTTGGTATTTCGT